AGAGGGGAAGGAGGCACGGCCGTGCATAATGGGAGGGGGTACGGCCATGCATGGTGGGCAGGACGGCAGGCGGCAGAATATGCACCGACACCAAAAGATGAGACAATCTATCCGTCACCCGCTTACCTACCTGCTCGCCAACGTATCTGTGTGTATATCCATCTATACATCTGGCAATTCCAGAAGCGGCTGTCAGAGCTTTTTAAATTTTCAGGACTTTTTGTTTCGGGACTTTTTCATGGTCTTAATAACAGAACTCCCACACCTGTAAAACCAGACTTGTCACCAATCCTCAGAGTCGACAACAAGTAAAAACGAATAGCAAACAAAAAAGACCAAAGGAACCGACAATCCAGAGGCTAAAGTGCAACTTTTTTGCGAATTTCGCCCTGTACAGTTTCAGGATTTTCGGGGTTTGCCAAAACAGTAATATCCAAGGCTGCAACGAACACCAAACTTAGCACACACAAACATAGACCAAAAATCGAACAGGGCGAAAAAAAAGGAACTGAATCGAACAGGGCGAAAAAAAAGGAACTGAAAAAGAACCATTCTCCAAATGCCCTTTACAGTGCTTGAGGGGGTAAACTATGGACTGAAGAGTGGGGGTCCCTGCTAACCACTTGTGCGGATGAATAGATGCACTGGCAGACGTATATATAGATGGATAGATGCAGCAATACGTTGGGGAGCAGGTAGATCTGCTCACACGAATGAATAGATGCATTGGCTGATATATAGGGCAGTCGTTGATGCTTAACCACAAGGGGGGTTAAGGTGGATTACTCACTTAGTGTAATTAGTTAGGGGATTCTGCAGACTGTTGAGGGTTCAGCCTCCTGATGAGTCGGTGAAACTCCGACGAAACAGTTTCTCACAGCCCCTCGTTTGTTGTCCTCATCTCCCTCTCTGTATGAATTGCGCACTCTTCAACTCAGGTGCCAAATATGGAACCAAATGCAATCAACCTCTTTAGGTACTGACCAACTTGAACCAAAAACAAATAATTTTATGTCCTCTTCTCCCTCTCTGCCTATGGTTTACCGGGCAGCTCTGTTTGCCGATTGTACGCAAGAGGTTCTGAACAGGGGGAGTTGTAAGGAAGAAGATTAAGAAAATGAAGTTATTTTTCTTTGTTTTCTTTTCGTTTTCCTTTCGCTTTTGCGCTCTGACAACTTTGTGACAATATATGTATATACAGCCCCTCGTTTGTTGTCCTCTTCTCCCTCTCTGCCTACGGTTTACCGGGCAGCTCTGTTTGACGATATATGGATAGGTGCAGACTACGTTGGCGAGCAGGTAGGTAAGCAGGTGGTTTTGTTCCTCCTGTCCAATTTTTGTGTAGTTCTGTCCAGTGTCCATTGGACTATACCCTAACAGTCCACTCTAACGATGCCAGGAGGTCTACACTTTTTATCCACATCCTATCCACTCCTCCGATCTGTTCTGTCCATAACTCTGTCCGTGTTGTCCATCCGTTAAACGATTCCCGTCCATCGACCCTTTTCCCTATCCATCCCCACTCGTGCACTTTACCATCTTTTTTTGGGGGGAGGGGGTCATCTATATCTATCTGTTATTTCTGTGTCAACCTTTTTTCCTCTTTCTTCTGCGCCATTCTTCTCTGTCTATCCATCGTGCCTCTGCTTGCTGCTACTGGTTTGTCAGGGGGTGTACACTACTCTGGGTCGGGCACCTTGGTACCAAGACGGCGGCAGTACCAGTGCCCACACCAGGCGGACTAGATGCTCGGTAATTAGACACGGAAGTTTATGGAGAGAGTGCCTGTCCTGGTCGTGGATAAGTTGGTTAGGCGCCATGCGTTCCTGTTGTCCTTCAGTTTTTCCGGGTTTTGTGGGAGCATTGGGAGTCAGAAGATGGCACTGTGGTGAGAGCAGAGGATGACACTGTAATGGTTCAGATAGTCGGTGGGATAATCCTGATCATTGCCGTTTCAAGGTGAGTTAGGGCTTTACTCTGTGCACTTGCGGGTGTGTGTGTGTGTGTGTGTGTGTGTGTGTGTGTGTGTGTGTTTGTGTGTGTCTCTGTGTGTGTGTGTGTGTGTGTGTGTGTGTGAGAGAGAGAGAGAGAGAGAGAGAGAGAGAGAGGAGTCACACATCTTCACCATCTTTTTCTCGTGCGCCCCTGTGATGCTACTCCCTTCTTAAATTGCCAGTGCATCGCCCATGCAAATGAAAAAGGAGTCATTCTGAAAAGTTTGACTGTTCGGGCTGCTGGATCAAGTGGCTAGCGGCGCCAGCCAATGAAGCTTAGCGCGTAGGGGGAATCCGCCTTGGGAAAAAGAGGTTGGGATGTACTGGTGGTTTAACCCACCCCTCTTTCTTCCCTCTCCGCGCATGGGGTTGAAGAGTTGGCTTGTTCTTTCTTCCCTCCCGTATCGGCTCTGTTTGGAGCCTTGACCACATTTGCAACCAGTCCCTCCTTTGGTTAGTCCCCTCTAACCACCCGGCGCACGTTCCATACCCTGCAGATGACGATCCTCAGCTGTGCGGATGCCTTCCTGGCACAGTGAGCACGGCTTCTTTGGCAGCACTGCTCCTTACATCCTCCCTCACTGGCTCTTCTCATTTGTTGAAACTGGTGTTACAGTGGCCGCTCAATCCCCACCACTGACTCCACCCGTGGCTAGTGCACATGTTGCAGGACCTGTGTTTGTGTGTGTTGTGTGTGTGTGTTGTGTGTGTATTGTGTGTGTGTGTATACACATCTAGATGTGTATAAGAGACAGGTGGTGGAGCGAGCCCCTCGGTCAGTCGATGCTATTTTTTTGTATCAACAATTGTTGAAGCCTGATGGAGGGAATGAGGGAGGGAGGGAGGGGGGGAGGGAGGGGATGTGGACGGAGGGATGAAGAAGGTGGTCAGTCGTGCATTTGAGATTATTAGAGAATTCCCGTGTTGAAAGTCATTACATGTATTCGGATCGGATTGCGATTAGCTCATTGTGCAGACGTGCAGAGTGGGGGAGGTGTACGGCCATGCAGAGGGGACGGGATACAGCCGTGCAGAGGGTGGGGGGTGTACGGGCACGGAGAGAGGGGCAAGGGTACGGCCGTGCATAGTTGGCAGATCGGAAGGCGGCACATCCTGACGGGGATTAAATCATTGAGCAGAGGGAAGGGGGTAAGGCCGTGCAGAAGGGGAGGAGGGCGTACGGCCATGCAGAGGGGCCGAGAGGGAGGAGGTAAGGCCGTGCAGAGGGGAAGGAGGGGGGAAGGCCGTGCAGAGGGGGAAGAGGGCGTACAGCCATGCAGAGGGGGAGGGGTACAACCGTGCCG